CGGTTGTACGAAAGTCAAGGTCTCGAAGCTAATTTTGACTTTCTTCTCTTAAAATAGTTTCATTCGATTCCTATTTTTTTTATATTCGAAAAAATCGGATTATTTCGGACGACCGAATTTGGTTCCAACATCCGGTGTAAAGATCTTTGTTATTTACTGTCTATTTTATTGCTTGCACACTCAAACCTCGTTTCAACGAATCTTATTATAATTATTAAAACATATAAAATTCGTTGAGACATGATTAGTTTAAATGAAATTTTCTTGTGTGTTTCATAGATTCATAGAAACAAGGTCTGACTATATGTACCATTATTATATTATGGAGCAGCAAGTGTAATAGCATTGAGTTTGAGTGCGTGTATTTCATCTGATCCTAATCGATTAAACTTCCTTCCCATAAAATCAAACTTTATATTATTATAATTGGGTTGAAACCAGTTCCAATCTCTACTTCTTTGATAATACTATATACGAGAGAATTGTTTGTTACTGGAATTACTATTATTCTCAAAAAAAAACTCCATTTTCAAACTTTAAATTATATCATATAAAATGTTTATTTATACTGCTGTCAAAGTTACTGTTGGCGACGTTAAAACATTCAAAAGTATATTAGTCTATGCCATTGATGCTGCTAAAAGTGTTGGACCAACCACATTTGTTAGTATCTTTATAGAAGGAAGACCAAAATCAATAACCTCTGGATTCCTAATTGCAAAATTAGTAGCATGTGCAGATATACTTCAGCACCTGGAAAATCAGCCAACCTGGTGATGTGGAGTCTCAATTTCACAATATTTAAAACTTCTGTTCTCTCGGACTTGGTAATATTGCCGCTGCTGTTATTTTACTCTAAAAAAAGTATAGTTAATTTTTTTTAAAAAATATACCTTTTGCACAAATAAATCTAATAAATCTACAATTATAATAATATAATTGTATGCGTGAGAAGTGATGTTTTTTATTTTTTTTATAAAGGATTTTTTGAGACTAACATAACAATAATAAGTTGTCTAAGGTGATCGACGAAATCCTAATTAATTAATCATAGAATCAAAATTCAAAGCCCTTGAAACCATCCGATGATGAATTACACCGATTATGCTTCTTTTTATAAAGTATGAAAATTTTTAATATAAAAAAAAGTTTAAATAAATATTTATTATTATTTATATAACGAACTTTTTTTTTATTTTCCCATCCTTTACTTTTTTTCTCTCACATTTCAAAAAAAAAAAAAAAAAAAATGGTATCCTCAGATAATGCTATTATTTTAAGACCGACAGGCGACCGTATGCCACTTGTTGGTTTCGGTTCATGGGAATTACCTAATGACAAAGTTGCCGATAGTATTTATCAAGCTTTAAAAAATGATTATCGATTATTGGTAAATGTTTATATTTGAAATTGTTTGTTTGTTTTATTTGTAATCTATTTAACGATTTGTGATTTTTTTTTTTTTTTTTGACGGATGGATGTAGGATTGTGCGGCCCTTTATGGCAATGAGAAAGAAATAGGCGATGGGATTAAGAAAGCGATCGATTATGGAATTGTTAAACGTGATGATATTTTCATCACATCCAAGGTAATAAAAATAAACAAATAAACATATTTATTGTGATGAATTGTGATGAGCGAAGCCTTTTTTTAACTACTAGTTCGCAAATAGTTATGGAACACTTTTCATAAAAAAGAACATGTTAGACCAGCTCTTGAGAGAACCCTTAATGATCTTAAAGTAAAATATTTAGATCTTTACTTGATCCATTTCCCTATCTCTTTGAAACATGTTGATCCAAAAGAACGTTATCCTGCTGATTGGTATTACGATACCAAGAATAAGACTTGCATTCAAGAAAATGTCACCATTAGAGAAACATGGGAAGCTATGGAAGAATTGGTTGATTCTGGATTGGTTAGGGTGAGTGTATATATATATATACATACATATATATATACACAAGTATTTTGTATGTGTTGATCCAAAAGAACGTTATCCTGCTGATTGGTATTACGATACCAAGAATAAGACTTGCATTCAAGAAAATGTCACCATTAGAGAAACATGGGAAGCCATGGAAGAATTGGTTGATTCTGGATTGGTTAGGGTGAGTGTATATATATATATATACATACATATACATATACACAAGTATTTTGTATGTGTACGTACATGACTCATTCACTTTCATCATATATTTACAGAACATTGGAATTTCTAATTTTAATGCAGCGTTGATAATGGACTTGTTGAAATATGCACGTGTCAAACCAGCAGTTCTACAAATAGAACATCATCCATACTTGACACAAGAACAATTGGTAGATTATGCAAAATCTCAAGGTTTGGCAGTGAATGCCTACTCATCTATACGTTCAAGTAGTTATGGACCGAAAAAAGACGAGAACTCTCCTCAATTGTTAAAAGAACCTATATTGGAACAGATTGCAAAGAAATATAACAGATCTACTGCTCAGGTTTGTCTTTTTTTTCATATTAATATATATTGGGAATGAATGGTGATAATTTCAGTATTAATAATAATAATAATATATTTATGCAATCCTCGTTGTTGTAATGATAGGTGGCACTTCGTTGGGCAGTTCAACGTAATATCGTGGTTATACCAAAGTCAACTAATCCAAGTAGACTTGTTGAAAATCATAAAGTCATAGAATTTACTTTGACCGACGAGGAAGTTAAAGCAATCTCTTCATTGGACAGAAAATTAAGATTCAATGATCCCGGTACAACATTTGGAATTCCTATTTTCGCTTGAATAATTTACTTTTTTGAGAGGCGAATTCCTAATTTGTTTAATAATATGATAATTTTAAAATAAAAAAGTTCCGTAAATACATGTATAAATTTAATAATATAATAAATAATAATGTTAAAAATAAAATTTAAAAGCGTTTTGTCCGAGTTGTGAAGGCGATGTGGATCAAAATTTCTCTATTAATTAATAATCAACTACACTATTATAGTTAATAATAATGGTACAGCACATTTACTGATATCAATATTGCTTTCAAATGTTCGTGATTTCATTGTTGTTGACTCAGAAATTGCTGAAAATAGTTTTACAAAAAGCAGATATTAAAAAAAATTTCTTATTTGCATTCTTATTTTTTTTTTTTTTTAGAATAAAAATTTTTATTGAAATGCAATCTTCTTCAGTTGACTGTGACCCACCATCACAACCAACTTCTTCGAATGTTCAAAAACTCACAAGTTAGTGTTAGTTACCCTTAAAAACTAATGGTGCTCAAGTTTACGGTGACGCTACTATGTCAGATAATTTACTGGAAAATTTAATGAAGGATAGGAAAGGACCTAAACCTTTTAAAATAGGCATTATAATTATTTTTTTGTTGAATGAATTAATTGAATCATCTAGTTTTGAATCAAACGTACATTGTGTTTTAAAAATAACCAAGTTTAGATAGAAAATTTCTCGTTTAGGAGGTTTTTTTGTTTAAACTAAAATGTATTTTAATTTTATATCAAGTATTACCTTTTAATGAAACCCAAAACAAAAAGGTTACTTTGGATGCTTGTTGATTGAACAGGTTTACTATGATGATAGTCATCTACTTATTCCCGCACGACCTGACCGTGTGAATTTGATAATAATAATAAATTTTGGGATGGGTTGCTTACAAAATTTCTGATTGGTTGAATTGAATTTCACGGATAAATAAAATATTCTGTTTAACCGTTGGGAATTATTATTATTATTATGCACAGCCTCAATAAAATCCGTGTTCCCTGTTCCTTGTTGTACAATACTTGTAGGTAACGGAAATCTATTTCAAGAAGTGACTGGTTCAGATGAATTCGATGAAGACAAATTGTTCTTTGGACTGGATAAATATTTTGTTGTGGTTGATTGCCATTATTAGTAGAAGTTGCTTTTTGAACTGGATAAATACTTTGTTGTTAATATTATTAGTAGAAGAAGCTATCCTTTGAACTGGACAAATACTTTGCCGTCGTTGTTGTTTGTCATTATTAGTAGAAGAGGCTGTCCTTTGAATTTGAACTGGACAAATACTTTGCCGTCGTTGTTGTTTGTCATTATTAGTAGAAGCTATTTTTTGAATCGGATGGAACACTTTGTCAATTCCCCAAACTCTCGATTTTTAACTGCGTCAAAAAACCACCATCTGATTGAGTCGAGTACTTTTTTTTGATAAAAAAATTAAAAAAAAAATTATTTCCAAAAAAAATAATAAAAATGAGAAAAAAATTGTTTCCAAATCTGAAAATGAATGAAAGAAAAACAAAAAATATATATATTTGGTTTCTCTCTGATAGTTAAAAATCCTTTTATGGATAGATCGACATTACACACTTTTAATATATAGTATTGTGAAACCACATAGAAATGTGACGCTGTACAGACTATATAACACCACCTCAAAAATTTGCACAAATGTACTGCAATTTTTGTTCTTTCCTGAGCGGAATTGGATGTTGATTTTATTAATAACAAAGTTGCTCTAAATTTGTCATCACATCCAAATTTTTGATGATCTACATTTTAAACTTAACGCGTAACATAAATATATTGCAACAGTAAATAAATAAATAACATTTCTATCATTTATCATTAAGGTGTAAGCCGAAAAAATTTTGGTCCTTGTATAATAAATATGTGTTAATCAAGATATATATTATATAAACACTATATGGGGCCTTTTCTAGCAAAAACGGTCTTCCATAAAAATAGATTTTTTTTGGGTAAATCACAAATTAAAATTGTTACACGAAAAAGGAAAATTGCCCCCTAAAATTTGATACTATTTTTAAACTCGGTGATTGTCAAAGTTATAATACCGGCTGAGATTATTTTATTATAAAATAAATTTTTATAAATAATATTTTGAAAGTAAAAAGCTTTTAATAAGTTTTATAAGTCAAATAAAATTTTTCCAATCAATATTCTATTTAATTATCAAAAATTGCTTCAAAATATTATTAAAAACATGTCTTTAATTAATTCAATACCAGAATATAATTTATTAGAATTTGAAGAATTTGAAGATTATGAAAAAAATGATTTAGTAATTGGTGTAATTGATGATTTAAAATTATTTTTCCAAAGTTCTTCTTGCAAATGTGTGAAAACAACAAATGATCCACATAGTTGCTTTGAAAAAATAAGCTTTAAAAACTTTTTTGAGAGACATTTTGAATTTAAAAGCTTAGATAAAAAAGAAAAAGAACTTTCTATTAAAACACAATTGATGGTTTTTCAATTTGACAATGAAAATATTAGACATAACTATAGATATAAATAGAATGAAAAAATACAAATTTGTAAACCTGTGTTTTTAAAACTGTGATATTAAAAAAGGTGTGTTAACTGATTTGCAAAAACATTTATTAACAAATGGTTTAGAAGATCATCAACATGGTAATATGAAAAATATTCCTAAACTTAAATCATGAGCATTTGTTGATTTAGAAGTAGCGGAAAGGGTGAAAAATTATATATTAAATTATGCTGAATTACATGGATTGCCATCTCCAATGAGACTTCATGATAATTCAGACCCAATTATTTATCTAGAAACTCAGCATAATTATAGATCAGTTTTTAATGAGTACAAAAAATGTTTTGAGGATAATTTTGCTGGTACATCTATGCAAGGTATACAGTATATAACTTTTTGAAGACTTTAAAATCAATTAACACCAAATATTAAATTTTTAAATGCTTCAAATGATCTGTGTGAGACTTGTGAAATTTTTAGATTAAAATTGGTAACATCAAGTAATGATGCAAATGTTGAAATAAAATTTGATTATGAAGAACATCTTACAGCAGCAGATCATGAAAGACAACATTATAATAAAACTATTGAAAAATGCAAAAATGATTCAACATCAACTCACATTTGCTATGATTATGCTCAAAGTGTTTCTGCACCATATTCACCTCAACAAGTTGGTTCAATTTATTTTAAAACTCCTTTTAAAATAAATATTTTTGGTATATGTACTAAAAATGATGAGGGTGAAAATTATCAACTAAACTATACTATAGGAAAAGATGAATTGCCAGAAGGAACATCAAAAGGAGCTAATACAACTTTAAATATGGTTTTTGATTTTCTCCAAAAGATTAGTCATAATGGTGAAAAAAATTTATATGAGACATGTGATAATTGTTCAGGTCAAAATAGGAATAACCTACCACTCTGGTTTTGGTTGTGGTTAATAATGTTGGGTTGGTATGAAAATATATATATAAATTTTTATGATTCCTGGGCACACTAAATTTGTCTGTGATGGATTTTTTGGATCAATCAAAAAAGTTTATAGAAATAGATGCATTAATACTGTTGATCATGTTGAAGAAGCTATAAATGATTCAACAACAAAACATAATAATGAATCTATTAGATATAAAGGTAGCATGGGTTGGAGATGGCATGACTTTAGTTCACTATTTAAAAATAGTTTTAGAAATTTACCAAATATAACAAAATACCATCATTTTCATTTTAGTAAGGATAATATTGGAAAAGTTTATGTTGTCAAAAATTCTGGTGGCCTGGAAACTCCTTTTGAACTTCTAAAGAATGATAATTTTAATAAAGATCTTCAGGAAATTTTTCTGATGCAGATTTACGTAATTATTACACTATTTACGTAAGTTTACGGCAGGCCCGTAATATTATGCAAATAAGCATACAAAAATTATGCAATTATTACATCGAGTGTAAATATTACATAATTTTTATGCAAATATTACAACTTTACATATTAAAATTTACAGACGTAATATTGCGGCAGGGAAAATTTTCTGATGATGGTCAATTAAATATTTTTGAGGCTGCTCCATTAACAGAAGAAAGAAAAATATATTTGTATACAAAAATTCACCAGCATGTACAAGACCCACTTAAAGATATTCTTTGTCCAGAACCTAGTACTTATTTAAATTTAATTTGTTATTCATTTATTATTATTTCAATATGTATTTTTATAACATTCATTAATTTATTTTATAATAAACGTACATTTTATTTTTTAATTAAATTATTGCGTGTAACAATAAAAAATGGGGTATGTAGATCGCGTGCAAATTACTTTAAAAAGGTATCCGGCCTACAATTCTCCATTTTTTTATTAAGCAAACAGGGTCTAATATTTTTGCCAATTATAATCTTTATGTTATAGATCAATATTATGTAAAAAAAATTTTTTTGGTCATATGAGGTCGAAACCCTTTTTTGCTAGAAAAGCTCCCATATAATGATTGTGAATTTTAATTTTTGCAATTTGGTTTCTAAGCCAGTTCATTTTTTTTTACCTAATATTGTTGATAAGAATATTGTTAGCATAAGAACCAATAGAGATAAATGCTTGTTTGGATGAATTTGGCACTTTATATAATAGTCAAAGAACCAATCTAGTGGTTGTTATGAACTGTTCTAAAATTTTTGGGGTCATTGAGAAAATGAGTCAATTTTTTTGGTACACAAAATTTCATTAAAATAAAAATGAGGATATTTCTAAGCTGAAAAGATTCGCCACCTCAAAACACATATAACTGCATTATTATCTCAAAAATGATAAAAAGAAATTGACTCACTTTCTCAGATGGCTCCCTATTTAAATGTTTGCTTATTAGTAACATCTTTAGAAGAAGAAGGGAAAAGAAGAGAAAGAAAATGATTATAGGATATGATAAGAATGAAAATTTATAATGATCTTCTAGGACTTTTAAAAGAATCTGATTCTTATGCAAATCACAGTTGGAATAAACCATGATATTAAAATTTATAGAGCACATTATCCACAAGATCACCTTATTTCAATGTTCCTTTATTAAATAATTTAATTAGAAAATCTGATGGAAAAATAGTTCTCCAAAAACATTTAGAATTGTTTTAAAGTAAGCTTTTAATATTTAATAGTTGATTTGCCTAACAAGCAATTAATAACAATAATTTGTTTATCTTCTTTCTATAGTAAGTTGTTTTATAAGATACGTTTATGATGGAATTATCAATCTTTATCCAATTGAAGCTCCTTTGGGCTTGCAACGAATTATGTCCAAATGAATTGTTTAAGAAATTGCAGGAATTGTTGACCAAAAAAGCAATGGATTGCATTCATAACAGTATGAATCATTAATATTAGCGTAATGAAGTGATTTATTGCTCAAATCTATATTAGGAAAAAAAAACCAATTTATAAATAGAGAATTGGAATTATGTCCTTCAATGGAGAATTGTCTAAATTCTGAATTAGTAACAAGAAATGATATTGTTGAATGGGATGATAGAGATTTTATGAAACTAAAAAGATATACATGCTTGAACTAATTAAATGTTATCAAATTTCTTCAAATGATTTATATAATTATGTCAATTCCTTTGAGTAAAAATAGTTGTTTGATTAAATCACCCAAAAGTTTTTTTGTCATACTAGAACAATTTTATTTGATATACACTGCCTCCACAAAAGTTTCGGTCACCCCAAATTTATTAATTGCACAAAAATGTATAATAATAATATAAAATTTTATATCTCTAGCTTTTATGAGTAATAAAAAAACAAACTCCCGATCATTTTTGGAAACTTTTGGGAAGGCAGTGTATGCAGAAATTTTAATATTAATATGTTTGCAATTTTCAAATTATTAATTATTATTTATTATATAATAATAAAGGAAGAATAATAAAAATAATGAAGGATTTAAATGTTATTTGTTGCAATATTAGTTGAAACAAACACCAAAAAAATTTATTTGCTTGATACAACTTGCTTGATCGTTCCTTCCTCTACTATTACTAAATTACTACTAGGGTATTAGTATTATCGCTGTTATAATTAACTATGCACTGATATTGTATCAGTTTGGTCAGATTTTATCATCTTAACATCTGTGTCAATTTTAGTTTTCCTTTCCTTTTGTTGTAGCAGAAGCATCAACGAATTCTTGTTGTGATCCAGTACCTGCATCCTCAAATTCGACATTACCTTTACCAATACTAGCCAAGGCTTTTCTTTTGCTTGCTTTAGTGATTCTAACAGTAGTAGCATTAACGGTATTAGAAACTTCTTGGACCTTTAATTTACCCCTGGTAACACTTTGCATCGTATTATCATCATTAAATCTTGGTAATATTAATATTATAGGAGATTGTAATAGCGTCGGAAAATTCTCCCGCTTCTGTACCAGCAACAATTGCGTTAGACTTAGTTTATTGAAATATACTATAAATATTTATTTTGTAAACATATTTATCCTTTCATCTGACTAGAATATTTTTCTAATTCTATTAGTGATTTGTTTTCCTGCAAAGGATTATATGGAACTCCTTAAATATTTTTAACCTCATTGATCGAATGTTCCTTCTTCAAAATACATATAAAAAAGTTTAATGGAGAAAAAATTTTTATTTTAATGATTTTTATTTATTAATTTAATTACGAATTAAAATCTTAAAAAATAAAACCATCAAATTTCTAATAAATAATGAATTATTCATAAATTAAAAAAAAATCTACTAAATTTGAAAGTCAAAATAAATCTTAATATAAAATTTTTTTTGCATATTTAATAAATCTTAAAATTCTTTCTTACGATTAATATTATTCGGATTCGGGTTGAATTTCATTTTGGTAAAAAGCTAGAATAATAGCTCTAACATCAGATCCCAAGCCAAGAAATTCAACGTTCTTCCAAACTTTATTATAGTTTTCTAATCTTAATCTATCATATAATTTATCAGAATTTCCTGTATATAAGTATTCTAATAACCATTCAAATGTTTCAGGGCTTGGAACATGAAGATGAATTATATCACCAGACAATGTTTCAAAAATTTTACGAAAACATATTGATTGAAAAATAAGATATTCTTTATGAATGTGAAAGATTTTTGGAAGACCAGTGATGTGAAGTTGAATGGCACATTTTGATTTGTTGTTATAGAAAATTGGCGAAAGATGATAAAGTTCTTGTAGAATGAAGGATACGGGAATTCCGGTATCGCTTAATTTTTGATTATGAATATGAAGGTGATGATGGCCATTCGGATGGTGTAATTGATGATTATTGCGACGTTGTAATGGATGATTTAATTGATGGCGGTGTTGAAGTTGATGAGTATTATTACGATGCTGTGCTGATGTTGTAGATACTGTCATAATTTTAGCTTTTCAAAAAATTAAATTTCCAAAAAAAAAACTTGCAAGTAAAAGTTTTTTTTTTGAGAAAGGGAGAGCGAGAAAGAAAGCGATATCAACAATAACTTTTATTATAATATTTTTCTTTTAATAAAAATACTTGTGACTTTTCTTTTTGATACAATAATAATATGATTATGATTACGATTATGATATTTTTTAAATTTGGACTGAAGGTGATGATAGAAAATAAAAATAGGTTCATTCATCGTTGCTTTTATACTGATCTAAAATAATCTTTGATAACGATTAATATTATTATTATAAATTTTGTTGATATTGTTTTCTAATTAAAAATAAATAAGTAAAATCCAAGAAATTTAACGTGTAAAACAACAATAAAAATTTAATTATGACGATCTAATTGTACGTTGCCTCCAAAGAACAATTGTTTATAAAAAAAAAAGAAAAGCAATGTTTCATTACAATATATTAACATAATAATAATATTATTAAAAATTTATTATGAAACAATCCCAAAAAAAAATATTATTTTTTTTACCGTTTCACAATGTTTGTTTTCTTTCCAAATATATCTTTTATCTGACACTCAACCGTACACAAAGATTAATTGATATATATGTACACAATAGAACCCAAATTCATCAAATTAAATTAAATTGAAAGAAACCCAGATTTATGAATGAATATATATTAATATATAATAAGTTCGAGGGGCATAACATTTATTCAAAATATGTATAAATATAGCATTCATTCAAATTTTAGATAATAATATAAAATTATTTACATTCATTCAAATACATAATGTGATGACTTACTAATTTGGAATAATTATTCTTTATATTAATTAATTGAATAATGTTATTTTTATGAAACGTTTTTTCAAAATTAAACATTATAGGGGTCTTTTTCACATTTGCATATATATTTACAAACAAATAAATAAGATACGACATATTAAATGTATCAGAGATGTTTGAATTTTCGAGAATTGGGATACGAGTCCATCCAGAAAAAGACCGTCGTACACAAAAAGAGTCGCTTTGAGACATCTTATTGTTGTCTGCGTAAGACCTTCAGGCTCAATGTATGAGGTGGGTAGCATTTTTTATTTTTTATACAAAATTGCCAAAATAATTATTTTTTAAAAATCATGCATGCACAGTCTTGAATTGGAAGTTACTTTCATGCACCTTCTAACGTCATTCCCTATCATAATTTACCAAACCGTTGGATAATGTCATCATAAAATTTAATTGCGTCATCATCTATTAACATCTTCTATTTGAATTCTACCCAATTCTCTTCGAATTATTATTATTGTATTAATTAATCTTATTTCTATAAATAATCTCTCTCGTTCGCTCAAGAGCAAACACGTGTATATTATATTAATATTTTGATATGACATAACATCTGCAATTTCTTCCATTAGTCTTTGATTGAAATGTTTCTTTTTCACTTTTTCTAATCCTGGTAAAACATCTTTTTCGCTAATGTAAACTCTATAGATTGTATCATTTAATTATATATAAATCATTATACAATAAAATATTTGTATTAATTTAAATAACAATTAATGTCACCTATTCTTCTTTTTAAAACTAATAAAGTTGTTCCTTTATTTCTTTGACTTGATGCTTTCTTGCCATTTCAGTTTCTTTATTGCAACTTGATTATCTGACAAATAATGCAAAAAATATTTATAATGATATTTTTTGTGATTGTAACCATTTTTTTAATCTGACTTGCATCTTGCTACTACGTTCATTAATATTTTTTATTGAGAAATTAAAAATTCAAACCTTCAAATGTTCTATAACATCTATTAGGTTACTATCCACCTGCAATATTTCATTTGACTAAAAATTATTTTCAACTGGAAAGTTTCGTGAGTTAATTAAAACAAAACTTGATTTTTATTGCTGAATACCTGCATATTAAGTGACTGAGTTTTCGTCGCTTTAAATCACTCAAAAAAACCTACATGGCGAGCATTCATTGATAATGTAAACAAAGATTATGTTTGATCAAATTATTCGTTTGATAAAAATTTATCATGCATCGAGTTTTCATCTATCAGTGTGATATTAAGATTATATCGAATCCCTATGCAACTGCTCTAGAGTGGGATATTCATTAATACTGGCGTATAATAATAATAAACTTTCGAAAGACTTTTAGCTTTAAACAAGGGGCATCCCAGCTCACTCAATTTTCGGAAAAAGAGTATTTATTGCAAGTAATAGTAATCTTCAATTAAACGTTTACAAAAATAGACACGAATTTTTTTTGCTTTTTTGCTAATTAAACCCTTGAGCCAAAGATTGATGCAATTTTTTGAAATTTTTTTTATTTATATTATTATTACAATTTTCGTCACCGTCGTTTTTTCGTTACACACAGTATTAGTATATTAATATTAATATTGATAGAATTTTTTTTCAATGCAAGGTATTTTTCTTTCTAACGAATAATGGAACTTGTTATAAAATTTGTTAAAAGGTGAAATGCATGGATTATTCTTAACAAACTATGTGATTTTTTTGTTAAAAGACACAATTGATGAAAGAATTATTGATAATGGTGGTGATGATGATATTAGATCATCGGCCATCCAGAAATCATCAAGTGCTACAATTTCAACCCCAAAGTCAAATCCAATATATTCAGCAGTATATTATGGAGTGCCAGTTTATGTGAGTTTCTTGTCAAAGATGTTGCTGTTATGCGTAGACGCCCGGATTCTTATTTGAATGCAACACAAATTCTAAAGGTGGCAGGCCTGGATAAAGGTAAGTGCTAAAAAATCATTGAAAGAGAAATATTAACAGGAGAACATGAAAAAGTACAAGGAGGTTATGGAAAATATCAAGGAACTTGGTATGTTAACATAATAACCATAATAAATTATAAAATAAATCTTTTTTCCTTTTGCACATATATGATCAATTTCACCATCACTAATTTTTTATTATTTTAGGATTCCTTTTGAAAAAGGCAAAGAACTTGCTACAAAATATGGTGCCCTTGAGAGTTTATGTTCTATCCTTGGATACATGTCACCAGAATATGATACTCCTTATTTGTCATCTCCATACACTCCAACTAAAGAACAAGCTATGGCAGCTTTACATATGTAAGCTAAATATAATCAATCTAATGAACATTCCAATAATTATAGTAACAAAATTAATATTCTTGACACAATGGTGATGATGATGGTGATATGGTTTTAACATATTCAGAACCCGCTAGTGAATCAGCAGCAGCAGACAATTCTTCGTCACCTGAAATTGGTGAGAGTGAGCAACTCGGGAATATTTTAATGGCAATATTTTTGAGTGAGAAACCGGAATTAATACAGGATTTGTTGGTTACTCAATATTCATCTGAACCTGATATAAACATGGTGATTGACAGTCGTGGGAATTCTGCAATACATTGGGCTGCGTGTTTGGGAAGACTAAAAATCTTGGAAATGTTGTTGAATAGAGGTGCTAATATGCAACAAGTGAATTATGATGGGGAGACTGCTTTAATTAGATCTGTATTTGTGACAAATAATTATGATTCTCAGTCATTTTCACAAGTGGTAAAACTATTTCATGACACAATCCCAATTACTGATAAAGATAATTGATCAGTGATACATCATATTGGAATGTCCTCAGGTGTTAGAGGACATGAAGCAGTATCAAAATATTATATAGATTGTTTAGAGAAATGGTTTCAATCAGATGTTTGTGGATTTCTTAATACTATTTTGAACATTCAAGATAAAAATGATGATACTGCATTGTGTATTGCTGCAAGAGTAGGGAATAATGAATTGGCTGAGAAATTGGTTATGATGGGTGCAAATGCTGATATTCAAAATAAGCTTGGATTGAAACCTTCTGATTTTGTTTTTAGTCAACAAGATGGTGATGATGAAGTTCATGTATGTATGTACATGTATATATATTTATTATTAAATTATTGATATTGTTTGATATATTTTTTGAAAATAAAAAAGAGCATTGAAGATTCAAAGGAAGATATGGATGTAGATATGATTCAAGAAAATGTATCTGATTTCTTTATTCAACCATTTACATCATTTGTTAATAATCATAGAAAATCTAGAGAGGTTGTTTTAGGTAAAAAAAAAAAATGGTTTATTATTTTAAAACTTATTATATATATAATAAATCAGATAATTAATTTTTAGCATTACAAAAACTTGTGGAAGATGCAGAGAATGAATGGGTGGTACAGCTTAGAGTTAAAGAGGATGAATTATTTAATGCTCAAAGTAGATTTAATGATTTGACATGACAACTTATTGATTTGAAGTGATCATTACAATATTATCATCAAAATGAAAAGGAATATAATAGCATAGAAGAATATTTAAAGTTTCTGAAACAAGTAATTAATGAAGTAGAAGAAGATAATAATGTTGATGTATATTCTATGCATAGGAAATGTAGAGTAAATCTTGAAGATAATGCATCATTATTAAGGAAGCCTGTGGTTAATAATAATAACATCATTAATAATAGTAATAATAATGATGATGATAATGATGCTATATCAACAACAATTATTTCTAATATAACACCAGCATCAACACCATCAAATCAACAGAATAATATTGCACCATTATCACAAGTTTTATCACCTGAATCTACCACTACCACCATCACTAATAATTAGCTTTATTGGATGATATAATATCATCCGCTTCCACAACACCACCACCATTAACACACATAGAATCATTTCAAAACAAAAAAATTGACATGCCATTAATATTAATTACACAACCAACAATTGTAACATCATCATTAACATCAATATCAACAAACAATTTACATCAAGTAGTAATGGATTCATCAGAAATGGCTGTTGATGTTGAAATGACTATTGTTAGTAGCGGCAATGAAAATGAAATGTCTGAAAAAGAATTAAAAATACTTCAAGCTCAATTATTAGCATATCAATTTGACAAGGATTTACTTCAATGTGAAATTGAGAAATTACAAGAGAAGTCATTAAATGCAGAGTTGCAATATAAACAAATTATTTCTACTTGTTGTAAAATTAATCTTGATAAAGTGGATGATTTTGTGAAAATTATACTGGGAGAAGTTGACAATGATCTTGAAGATGAGTTTAGTTTGGGAAGAATAGGAGAAATATTAGGTAGACTGGACAAAGAAGCTTTGCAATTATAGTGTGAGGGAGCAAGTCCTTTTTTTCATATTTTTAATTTATAGTAGATATTCAAATAGATATATTTACCTATTATTAAATAATAATAAATTTCATTATATTTTTGGTGATTGTATTGCTTTGATATAAAGCAAATAATTTTCTTTTAATAATAATCAAATAACTGATATATGTTGTCATTATTATTATGCATTGGGAGTATTGGATGTGTTAAAATTCCTACATTTTACACATAATTTTAATTTAATTTAACTGTTCTGAACAAAAGGAAAATTCATTTCACAAAAAAAGTAATTGTTATTTTCATAGAAATATTTAATATATGCAATTTATTTAGATTTATACAAATGAAAATGAAAATGAAATCTTGTACATGTATATATATATATGTGTATTAAAAAAAGTTATAATCTATAAAAGGAAAATAAATAACTGCAAAAATTTACATTGATTTTGAAAATATGCCGAAAAAAAAAAAATAACATGAAATGCAAAATGTAAGCATATAAATAAGATGAATAAATATGTGTATGTGTATGTGTATGTGTATATGCATATGTATATGTATATGTATATTTGTGGATGCAAGTATATATTATGCAATAATTAAAAATATATGTCTACTTGTCTAACTAATCATTTGCAATGTTTAATGATGATTATTAATTTTATAATGATGATGATGATGATGATGATGATGATGATGATGATGATGATGATGATGATTGTGATTATGATGATTATGATTATGACTATGACTATGATTATGATTGTTATGATTATGATTATGGTTATGGTTATGGTTATGATTATGATTATGGTGGCTAAGATGATAATTATAATTATGATGATGGTGGTGATGATGGTGATGATGATGATGATGATGATGATGATGATGATGATGATGATGATGAATATTAGATTTTTTAGTAAATTCATAAATTTTGTCATAAAAACCATCATCAAGATCAATAATATTAGGTGATGATGGTGTAAACATTAACAATGTATTACTATTATATGATCTACCAGGTAAAGTATGTTTCATTTTTTCACTTTTATCACTATTATTATCATTACAAAAATAATACTTTGTCATGTAGGAAGTATGTGGAGTTGACATTTGACATAATCTTTCTTGGATATCTTCTGGTAAGATCAGTAGACCAGCAGCCAAATTTACACAATATTGTTGACCTTTAATTGATGATGATGATGATGATGATGATGGAATGACGATTGTTGTCAATGGAATTGTTTTATCAAGAGTGTTAGTGGCAGAAATAATATTCAATGACATTTTTAATATTGATATTTCTGACTTTGAACCCAATGATGGTGATAAACTGTTAATGGTATTTAGTGCATGGATTAATTTTGTATTATTACCTTTAGAAATGTTAATTTTAATCTTTGAAGACTTTGGAGAAGAACTGATTTGTGAATTATTGTGATTAATTTTCTTCTTCTTGTTGTTATTTATTTCATCCCAATAGATACGATTTTTTGCCAGAGCATTAAGAAAGATTGTAGCTTGATTTAGGAATAAAGCAAATGCTTTAAAATAAGGTTTGACAACAAAATCGCTAAAACCAAGACTTATTTGTGACTGATAAGCTTGTTCTCTGTTCATATTTGGAGATATAGGCAGATTTTTTTGATTTTCCAAGTCACCTTGTTTGAAAAATTCTTCAACAATACAATCGGACCAACGTTTGGATATATCCCATGGACGTACAGCATTGCTCAAATCAGCAGCATGGAGTAAAACTTTTAATAAAATATCACGTTGATATTTATTCAATAATTTTGATACTGCCGGAGTTGTTGAAAATAATTTTGAAGGTGGATTTTTAGATGTTGAAAAATATTCAGGTGAGGAAACAATGGAGAAATTTGATGAGTAATCATCATCATTATTATTGTCTAATTCTTCATTAAAATATTTATCAGGTGAACATAGAGATAATGATGGAAAAGAACAATAAATGTTTGTAGAAGATGATGAATTAATAAGATCATGCAACGATTCCAATAGTTCATAATGATTCATCATATCAGTTGCTAGAATTATATTCCCTATTAAAGTTTTCAAAGTTACGTCAGTTTGTTCTGGATCCATTCCTCGGAAATCATCGTTGTGTAAATGACGAAACAATTCATGTTTTGACAATAACTCCATCGTCAATGTGCAAGAATGATTTTCTAATACGGATTGATTATTGTATTTAATCGCTAGAGATGTCCTTGCATTAACCTGGTAGGCATTATTTAGACCGGGATGTCCTATATCGTGACACAATCCAGCAATCATCAAACAAATTGAATCCAAGGGAGTCAAATGTTTGGCAGCACCTAAATCGACCAACATGTAGTATAACATGGCCACAACATCCACTGCATGGTAGAACGAATGATAATCAGTTGTAAAGTAGCCTTTCTCAACATCGATAATAAAATCCAACATTTCTGACGCTTGTATTTGTAAACAACCGCTCAAATTCAATTTCACCAACATACCCAACACTATACCATATAACTCTGGCATTGACCAATCCCATACATTAAAGTACATTCCAGTGTCTGAAGATAATTTATCATACAAAAATTTTAACATTGTCTACAAAAAATTAAAGGGGGATGAGAAATAAAAAATTTAGTAATGCATTAATATATATAATATTAGATTGAAAATAAAAGAGATTTACACTTTCACATATTATTAAATTGTCAGAAGGTAAAGAGTTATATTTTAATAAAAGCATGTTTTAATTTTATCTAATATATTAATAATAAAAAGAGTAAAATTTCTATTTTCAAAATGTTGTAAAAAAAATTAACGTGGTTTTTTTTCTAAATAAATAATCAAAAACGATGTAATGAAATTTTTTAATTAAGTAAACAAGGATATGATACGGGGCAACACTAATTTTGGCTTTAGTGCAAACGAGGAAAAATAAAATTGATAAATCGGGGATTTATTTGTATGATTTTATTTTCCATATTTATTTATCTCCTATATAAAATAAACCATTTTGCAACAAAGAATTTTCGATATTATGAGAGAAAATAAAGTTGATACTTATTTATTGAATAAATAACTGATCATGGTAGAAATTTGATTATATCACATACATCTCTAACAATATAATTACTAGACGGATTTCATGTTAATATTAATATATGTTCATGCAAATTGTAAGCCCGAGAAAATTTTCTTAAAGATCTTTTCCCCTCATTATCATGTCTTGATAGTAATATACACTTGTTTTCCACATTCTTTTGCATTTGGTATTAACCTATTTAATGAGCCTATTTCTTACTGTTCTTTTCTATTGATTATTTTCCCGTTTGACAACTATTAAAATTAGGAATAATGATGATATCAAAAGCATAAATAAGCCACAAAGCAGAAAGTGTGTTTTTGTATTCTTGCACAAACACGACTCGTAGAATTAGCTGGGCGGGACTTTGATTATGAAGGAAATAAGGAAAGTTATCCATCTTGAAAATCGACAACTTCTGGCAAATTTGATCAATCATACAATTGCGTTAAAAGGAAATAATGATAATGATGACAAGCATTTCTATATATAGTATATATATACGTTGCCACATATCCTTGTTTACTTAATAAAAAATTCATTATATTTAGAAAAAAAACCACGTTAATATTAATATTATATCATTGAAGGAATTCCACCAACATTATTAAGAGAGATTTCTACTCCGCAATCAAGTCTAACTTGTTTAATATTAAGTGCTACAAATTCTCCAAAATGATTTTTTGATTTCATTATTGTAACTATTTTCTTTTCTTATTCTTGCCCTTGCCAAGATTTTCTAATTTCAAATAAAGTTCAGATAAGGATCCTGGTCACAAGGTCTGATCATATAATAACAAAGGTATTTAAAACTCGTACATCCTTTTTTGTATCACGATTTTTGGAGTTTTGTATAATGAATATTTTTGAGTGAAAAAGCAAAACGTACACTATTACTATTATTATATATTTTCAAAAAAATCTTAATCTGTACAACAAAGCTTTTATAACTCGCATTGAAAAATTTATTTTCGAATCTCCTTATTTTTTGTATTCATATTTTTTCTGCTTCTGCCAATTGAGCATCTGTAAGATGTGAAATCAATTGGTGTTAATTTAATAGATTTTGACAAAAATTTTAATTTACCAACATAATGAATAGCAATGACAAAAAAAGATTTACCATCATTGTGCGATTCATATTTTTGTCTTTAATTATTCATTTAACAATTTTCTTGAATCTGATATTTCATTGTTTTTTTATTAGGAGTAAGACTTTGAATGAATCAATAAAATTAGAACTGAACCGAACCGATTTGAATTATCAAATTTCTGATTCGTTTCGCTCGAATCGAACACGAATCGTGTTTTTATTCGATTCGATTCAAGCCTATAAACAATCTAATTTGATATTTATATTTAAATTTAAAACAATGAATTGCGCAACTGTGAATTGTATTAATTTTTTGTTATATATTAATATTAATATATAGAATTTCTATTCGTAATATAAATTCTTATTATTATTCGCTTTATGATTATTCGTTTTATTTATTCGAATACTCAATTTCATAACAGATAAAGCTCCGAACGAATCAATGAAATTCGATTTGAGTCGAATCAAATTCGAATTGTACTCTGATTCGATTCGATTCGATTCGAACTGATTCGAATATTAAATATATATAATTTGATTCGAACTTGTTCGATTCAATTTGATTTGAACCAGTTTTGTGACCAGAAACTCTTTGGCTTCCCGAAACGTTTCGGAAAATGAACTTACACTAAGCAGAAAACTAAAACTAAAACTAAACCTAAGCATAAACTACTAACCTAAACTGGTTTCTGTTAGTTTCTGTTTCGGGTCTTCCCTAAACTCAGAGTCTCGGGTCACAACATTGATTTGAACTGATTCAACTCAACTCGATTCGAACTAGTGATAGTGGCCAAAAATAAGCTTAGTGGACCGAAATTGCCGAAATTAATTGGCCTAAACTTTGACGAAACTAATTTTTTTAATCGGTCGCTTTACTTTATCGAAAATTATTTCGTCGAAAGTTTGTTTCATCGAATGTTCATTTCGTCGAAAATTGTTTCATCCTCGAGACAGAGACCGAATGAGTTAGATGTGAGGAGTGTGGGAAGTTAGTTAAGAAATTAGGTGAGGAAAGCGGAGTGTGTGGGAAGTGTGAGGAGAAATTTGTTTAATGAAGTTTTTTTTTTGTAACGAAATAATTTTCGACGAAATGAACATTCGACGAAATGAACATTCGATGAAACAAACTTTCGACGAAATGGGTGTCGACGAAATGACTGTCGACGAAATGATTGTCCGACGAAATGAGTCAGACCTTTTTTAATGAATTTGATTGAAAGCATGCCTAGAAGAATTCAGGCTTGTATTAAGAGCAAAGGATACCCAACTAAATATTAAAAGTAGTTAAAATTTTAAATTAAATTATTACATAAAATTTGAGTAATAAAATAAAAAAAAAATTTCGCATCAGAAATTTAGTGATTGTCAAAGAAAATTTTTAATCGAATTTCATTTTTATATATTTATTCGAGTTCTACGGAACCTAGACGCATGGAATTTTGCATAGATATTTACAAGGAACTAAACCGCAAATGATATAAATTTCATATATGTTTATTATGTACATTTTTGCGCAGTGAACAATAACAAGTGTTCTGAAACTTTTGTCCAGGTACTGTAGCTGTTTTTCTCTTTGCTACCAAGCCAGGTATGTCTCCATATTTCATTAAATAAAATTTATTAAATATTATCTCTATACATGAAGTCAAAATTAAAACCCCAAAGTTGAAATGTTTCAACTTGAGGCAACTACATATACATAGTAAAAATCAGTTTTGACCTTATTTCGACCCTATTTTGACCAGATTAAGATCTGCAGATGGTCAAAATAGTTTTGACTTCATGTATAATTATCTCACTAAAATAAAAGAAAGAAATAAAAAATAATAAAAATAATAGAGACAAATATAAAATAAGAGAAAATAATTATGCACGGGATTAGTATGAATTCATTGTTAGAGATAAATTTATTATCACTATGAAAATATAATGTTTGAAGACAATAAGTACAAGGATAAAGGACAGTATTATTTATTAAATGATGATTATGAATGATGATTAAAGATGATACATGAAGTTGAGAAAAATACAACATAATTTATACATGTTAAAGGTTTGATCATCCAGTTCTCTGATTTTTTTGAAATCCTAATTAAATGTATTACTTGAACCTTCTGTGTAGAAATATTTTCAAGTTATTCATCAGGAAATTTTCCTGTCATAATATTACGTCCATAAATTTTAATATGTAAAGTTGTAATATTTGCATAAAAAATTATGTAATGTTTACACTCAATGTAATAATTGCATAATTTTTGCATGCTTATTTGCATAATATTATGTATGGCACGCCATGCTGGACAAAAGTGTACCACATTTTGTTGCAAAAAGTTGCAACATTTTGTTGTAAAAAAATAATTGCAACATTTTGTTGTAAAAAGTTGCAACATTTTGTTGTAATTAATTGCAACGTTTTGTTGTAAAAAGTTGCAACATTTTGTTGTTAATTGTATGGCACGACTACATTTTGTTGTAAAAAGTTGCAATTATAGATAGGTGTCTAAATTTTTTCAGGCTTGCAAAAAATTTATTCCGTGATTAATCTCAGTGTTTTTCCTGTTTATATTAATGAATATATATGATACATTTATGGAAATTCCATTTTTCATAAAAAATGGTTTCACTGATATAATTTAATTAATAAAATGGATAAAGCTTGGATAAATGACTGAGCATTTACTGAATAAATTTAATTAATAAAATGGATAAATAACTGAATAATTGCTAATAATTAATTAATAAAATGGATATGCATATTCCCTTTCTAAAATATATAGAAAAAATCAAATTAAATTAAAGATTTAAAACAATAATAATAGTAACATATAATAATAATAATAATCAATTTGATTGTTGCGTAACAATTCTTTCTGATCGTACACCACCAGATCTAAAAAAAGTGATTAATAATTAGTAGTATAATTGTTATTACAAGAATATATTAACTATACTTTTTGATGTTGAATTTTCTACCTATTTCTAAAAATAATAAAATATGGCCGCGTAACAATTCTTTCTGATCATACACCATCAGATCTAAAAAAAGTGATTAATAATTGATAGTATAATTGTTATATCAACTGTTGAATTTTCTACCTGTTTTCTAAAAATAATAAAATATGGCTGCGTGACAATTCTTTATGATCCGTACACCGCTAGATCTTACAAGAATATATCATAATAATTCTTTCTGATTTTTTTCAATCATTAACCTTTGGAAAAAGAAATTGTGTAAATACTTTTTTAATTTAATTATTACATTCTTAAATATATATATAAATACTAATTTAAAAAATAGATACAAAAGTAAATATTAAAAAAAAAATCATGTTACCACCATTACTTCATAAAACTATTTTTTTATAAATCTCTCTAAAACTAATTAACTAACACTAAATGAGATCAAAGCTTGAAAAGCAAGTTTTGTAAATATAATTTATGAATGCTTTATCTAGTTATACGATATGCTATAGTTCATTACCTATTACCATATATTTTTGTATCTTGCTAAGTACTTGATCGAATTGAGTGATCTTAGATTCAAAAGAAAGCCTGAATTCTATTGCACATAATATTCAAAACTTATTATTGTTAATATTTAGTAGTTATTTAATATTTGATGCATTTTAATAATATTATTAAATATCCCTTCTTTTTGACAATTTGTATATTATTGTTGCTTGCTCACATTATCTAATTATTTTAATCGTCATTATTTATGTAGAAATGAAATGTAAAAGAAAAACTTTAAACTGCATTTATTTCTTACAATTGGACAAAAATTTTACTTGCAGATCATCCAATTTTGCAATTAATTACAACAAAACGTTTCAACTAATTACAACAAAATGTTGCAATTATTTTTTTACAACAAAATGTTGCAACTTTTTGCAACAAATTGTTGCAATTAATTACAACAAAATGTGGTACACTTTTGTCCAGCATGGCGTGCCATAATTATGGGACCCGCCATAACTTATGTAAATAGTGTAATAATTACATAAATCCATGTCAGAAAAAATTTAAAGTTATTTCTAAAGTGACCCAATCATTTAAATTACTTTGTTTAAATTAAATCTAAGAATTAAAAATCTGTTATATTTAAAAAGTTAGAATATTTATTTCTCCATTGTTTGAGATATTTTTATTTGCATGATATGTAAAATTACTATTTTACAGTATTAATTACAACAAAACCTTTTAAAAATCAAATAACTGACATCACATTAAGAAAAAATTGAATTATCCATGTTGCAAATTATTAAAATTGAATGATCAATGCCGTTAAGAAAAATGTCAAATGATTAATGATTTCTAAAATAAGATTTAGTTATGAACAGAACATAACTTACTAAAATAAATCAATTCAGAAATGTTATATTAATATTAAGCAAGCTATACATTTAAAAAATATATATGAATTGATTTATGAACTGCTAATTCAGATATCTTTTCAAGAATATTTATAATTTTGCAGATATTCAGAGGTTTCACAAAATTATAAGGAATAGTAGACAAAATTTTATATTCCAATAAAAAAATGAATGAAGGTATTTTTTTCTTACACAGAAAATAACTGTTATAAAAATATGTAGTA